GCACTCTCCCCAGGGGGACAGCTTGTGGCTCCTGTCTCAAAAAAAAAAAAAAAAATTGGTATAATTGTGATAGATGTGTTATTCACAATTGGTATAATTGTGAGGGATGTGTTACTTAATTCAATGTACACATTTCACATTGTATATCGAAGCAGTAAATGTATCAATGTATTAACCCCATAAATGTATCAATGTACAAAGTTATGATTTAATGAAAAATAATTTTTAAAAAATTAAAAATTGAACAGACATAGATGAATAGATGGATGGAAAATTAATAGATGAATACAGAGTAAGAAAGAGAAATTGTGAATCTGCTGTGTCAAGAATATTCTAAGTACACAGCTATGATTTAATAAAAAAATAATAAATAAATAAAAATAAAGAATATTCCAAGTAGAATAATTAGCTATGGCATCAACCAAAATAATAAACACCATTCCTACTCAAAACCTGATCTGGATATTTAGTGGGAAGCTATTCCTGAAATATTACACTACTAGTGACACACTACCTCTGTTACCCACACTGAAAGGCAGCATATCCTTCTATACACCATCAAACCGTAACTGTAGCCGGGCGTGTGGCTCATACCTGTAATCCTAGCACTCTGGGAGGCTGAGGCGGGCAGATTGCTTGATGTTAGGAGTTGGAGACCAGCCTGAGCAAGAGTGAGACACCGGCTCTAAAAATTAACAGCCACTGTGGCGGGCACCTGTAGTCCCCGCTACTTAGGAAGCTGAGGCAAGAGGATCGCTTGAGCCCAGGAGTTTGAGATTGCTGTGAGTTATGACTCCATGGCACTCTGCCAATGGCAATATAGTGAGACTCTGCCTCAAAAAAAAACCAACTCGGTGCCTATAGTTCAAGCAGCTAAGGCGCCAGCCATATACACCGGAGCTGGCAGGTTCGAATCCAGCCCAGGGCCTGCCAAACAACAACAACTACAACCAAAAGATAGCCGGGCATTGTGGCGGGTGCCTGTAGTCCCAGCTACTTGGAAGGGTGAGGCAAGAGCATCACTTAAGCCCTGAAGTTGGAGGTTCTCTGAGCTGTGATGCCACAGCACTCTACCCAGGGCAACAGCTTGAGGCTCTGTCTCAGAAAAAAAATAATAATAATCACCATATTCAAGCCATCTGCTCTAATTCAATCAAAGAAGTCACTTATTCCCACCTTCAACTTATCTCTTCCTAGCTACAAAGAGTCTTCATCATGAATCCTGCTACCTGAAGAAGATAATCCAATCCAGAGGCCAATTAACCCACTCACCACAAGGTCCAAAAACCACCCCACAAAGCAATCTCTGCCGCCTTTCAACGTAATCCGCTTTCACTAACAGGGATTAAAAAAACTGAAGGAAAGGCACCAAAGTGTTAACTATGGTTACGTGTGCATAGCAAAATTATAAAGTTATTTTTTCTTTTCTTTTCTATTGTTTTTTTTTTTGGGGGTATTTTCCATATTTTTCATTAGATGATTATATGTGTAAGTTAGAAAAAAATTAGATGTATTGCAAAAATATATAAGGAGGGCACTTTTGAGTGCCTGCAATATGTATATTGAGGGGAATGGTTACAGAGTAAATACTTAACAATCACTTACTAAATTGCAAATGCAGACTTATGCATTTCTCTGTATGTTTTATTTCAAGATAAAAATGTTAATTTCAGGCCAGGCATGGTGGCTCATGCCTGTAGTCACTGCACGTGGGAGGCCAAGGCAAGTGGATTGCCTGAGCTCACAGGTTCAAGACCAGCCTGAGCCAGAACAAGACCCCCAGCTCTACAAAGTAGCCAGGCATTGTGGTGGGCACCTGTAGTCCCAGCTACTTGGAAGGCTGAGGCAAGAGGATCACTTGAACCCAAGAGTTGAGGTTGCTGTGAGCTAAGATGCCACAGCACTCTACCAAGGGTGACCAAGGGAGATTCTGTCTCAAAAACAAAAAAAATGTTAATTTCATAACAAGGCAATGGCCTCCACTGATAAAAAATAATCTGGCTTGTGTTTGATTGGTTTAGGTTTGTTGTGTTTTGATTTGAGTTTTTCCATATGCATAGAATAGAAGAGGTTGGCCTGTGGCTTCCTAGAGGGAAAAGAATATTATAAAGATTAGTGAAAAGCAGGGACTAAGAAATTCAAGAATTCAGGGCCCAGAGAGCTGGAACTGTGAACCATGAGCAACACAAGTCAGCTAGGTGGCCTGTACATGATGTAATCATCACTGTGCCTCAGTACTTCTCTCTTGAGACCAAAAGCGCCTAGGTCTGCCTTAGATAGGTTGAGGATTAATGATTTCCCTAACAGCAAGCCCTCAGTGAAAGGCTATCCTGAAATAGTAATCTTACTTGTCCATCTCTTTTATGAGTAAATCAGAATAAAGTATTTTATCACTAGACTCTTTTTTTTTTTTTTGAGACAGAGCCTCAAGCTGTCCCCCTGGGTAGAGTGCTGTGGTATCACAGCTAACAGCAACCTCCAACTCCTGGGCTCAAGCGAGTCTCCTGCCTCCACCTCTCAAGTAGCTGGGACCACGGGTGCCTGCCACAACACCTGGTTATTTTTTTGGTTGCAGCCATCATTGTTGTTTGGCGGCCCGGGCTGGATTCGAACCCGCCACCTTAGGTGTATGTGGCTGGCGCCTTAGCCACTTGAGCCACAGACACCGAGCCTATCACCAGACTCTTAAATCTACTGATCCAAATTAAAGAAATACACAGAGGAAAACGCCAAACTGTATCTCGCCTCATATGCAGGTGCTTCTCACGCTTTGTAGTTCCAAGGACTAATGTAAGAACCCTGGTTTGCTGGGCCACAGATAGCCAGCAAGTCACTCTGTGTTAACACAGCACAGCTCCACGAGGGTATTAGTTGCACAGTACAACATATACTATCAAGTGAACTAGTCTATCCTGGAGTGACTCATGTCCATAGAATCAGCATCAATAAAAAATATCAACTGATAATAACTGATAGAGACTAAGAGGGGAACAAGGAAGGGGAGAGTCTGCACAGCAAATAACGAATGACTCAAGACGGACGTCTTTATATGCATAGAGCGAACTAACTAAACAGACAGCAAGTCTAGACACAGATGTTACCCGACGAAGAGGGTCCAGCCACCTGTCACCGTCCCAGCCAATGCAGAGAAGGGGACTAGGTCTAACTAGCTTTATTAGCAGAAGGCCAGCAATTCTGGAGAGTAGTCTCTCAACTCTGTTCTGCCTCAGTTACAATTCTAATAGTTTTTATAATGGGAATACAAGGAAACAGACCTAGAAAATTTTAACTTTACCTGATAAGAAGTAACATCAAAGTAATCTTCATTCTAACCATGCAAAATGTTTAAACGGCAGAAAGGTAATTTTCCCTGTAATAAGAGATCTAAGAGAATCATCAGAGAAAACATCTTCTCATCAAAGTAACCTTTACCAATATCACAACACCTATCATCTATGTGGGACTGCTTCTTCAGTCTCCTGAGATAAAAGAAACATCCTCACAATCTCCGAGAAACCTTAACTAGATAACCGAGGGGGAAGGAAGTGGGGGGAGAACGTGAACTCTGCAGACGATTCCCTGTACTGCTTCAGCTGAGCTTCTCGGACTCCACCTTGTAGGCTGCTTTGCTGGTTTCACAAAGGCCACTGACCTTCCAGTCTGTGAAACTGGTATGTTGTTATCGTACCTTCACAATTAACTTGTTTACCAATTTACCTTAATGGGCCTTTTTTTTCTTAGAAAGTCTTTTTCTTACAATCTAGACCTTAGTCAACAATAGGAAATTTAAAAAGAAATTGTTTTACATGCCAGTAAATATTGGGACAGATAGAAAAAGAAATCAGTTGACTCAGATGAGCCACAGATCAGATCAGATCAGATCATAACCACACAAAATTGGTTATTATTCTCTTCGGTCACTATGAGAGAATTTTTTATTTGT